CCGAAACCTTAGTAGTACAGGGAACATGGGCAGTGAATTATGAGACAAATAATATACATATGTCTGCTTGTGTTGAATAGCTTTTTTACCCAATGCCTCCATATTTGTCGAATGCGTAATAAATGACCGCAAATGAAATATACTCACTAAAGGCGTGTCTAGGGCGAAAATACAGATGTTTGAATAAACGGCATCATAATGCACTCCCTCATCATATTTTGCTATCTCCCGTAAAAGAATATTGCTGTATTCAGCTCCTTGGCATTGCTGAACCGGTCTGTGGGCAGCCAGTGCGTTATTTTTTACCATCAACAAATGAGGCATGTTTGAGGACAAGTGCTTGATTTGATAAATAACCCCACTGTGCCATTTTTTTCTGTGAGTCAGTGCCACTGGGCACCGGTGGCCAGTGGCCAAGAGAAACAGGATTGAATTATTCCAAAATGAAATGGGCATGTCCTCCCTGCCTTTATCCTCAGCTGTTGGTATTTCTCCTTGGCTGTAGCTGTGCATTATTTCTTTATACCCATAAGCTGTCTGTGTGCTGGTTGGGTGTCAGTTGTTCTACTGGTTCTTGGGAGAGGCAGTGTGTGCATGTGTGTGTGTGTGGGGGGGGGGGGGCACATGGAGGCAAAGGGGGCATCATGTGGGCCATTTTAGGAGGGAGGCTGTCCAGTTCACAAGCAAACAGGAGGGAGGAGGTGGAGCAGGGGTCACAGGTGCAGAGATGTGGAGAACAGAGGGGTAATTACACAGCAGGAGTCTGAGAGAGGGGCTGCTCCATCACAAACCATTTATTAAAATTTCATCGAAGCAGGCTGGGACTAGTGGGGCTCTGAAAACTATATTTTTAGACTCAAGGGATGAGGGTATTACTTTGAGATAAAAACCCGAGCATGTGTTTGGGTGTACGCATGTGTGTCTGTCTGTTGTCCTGGGAGGTAGTTGAAAGTCCTGTATTCTTTGAGAACGTTCAACCCAGATCTTTGTGTAACATGGATTAAAGGGACAATCTGAGTTATGTGTGGTGCTCAGGTCTGCCCAGCGGCTATGAAACATTACTATAGCCTTGCTGAGCAAATGCTATGTGCCGCTTCATTTGTTGACAAAACTTTAAAGCTTAAAGCAGTATGAAGTCAGCAGGGTCAGTGTGTGCAGTTTCAGCTAGGGTGGGCATTTGAGGAATACCTTTCTTTGGGTTCCAGTGGGACAAGTCAATCAGTTACCATAGCGCTCCAGAAAGTGCTTAGTTTCGGGGAGTATTACTTGGTTCCTGACATTATATGGAACCGATTTGTGTTGACTTTTTAGATCACAGTCCTTCCCTTCGCCACTGACCTTGTATCAAGCCACTTTTTAATCCCCTTTTGTTGTACATGTTGTTTAAAGTCAGCCTTGAAGAGGATTCAGTCGGCTGGTTTTACGGCCTCTTTTCAATTAGAACCACACACACACACACACACACCCAAGAGCGTACTGTATTTACGGCCATTCCATGTAACCGTATCCCCTACATGTCAGAATCACAGGGGCTGCACAAGGCTGGGGAGGTGGGGCAATTGGGACAGGGTCCTGAGCAGATGAGAATCCGGGGGCAGCTGTTGTCCCCTCAAAGTCTGTGCTTGCCTGCTGTCAGTCACTCAGGGCAACCTGACGTCGTTCTTTGGTACAGCTGAGATGGACCCGGTATGGAGAAAGGGAGGAAAATCTATCAAATCCTGTTTGTGTCGGTGTGCATATCCCAGGCTCCAGCTGACTGTGATGCACAGCCTGCTGTGATGATGGTTTGAATGTCATCTGGCCAGATACGATCTACCCCCAAGTGTGACGGGGAAGCTGACCAGCTCCCCCCCCCCCCCCCCCCCCCCCCCCCCCCCCCCCCCCCCCCCCGGGGGGGGGGGGGGGGGGGGGGGGGGGGGGGGGGGGGGGGGGGGGGAGCCAGCATCCCAAACGTGCCCCTGCTGCTGATCGCAAGCGACTGTCACTTCTCACAATGGCTCTTTCATGGCTCCAGTAATTGTTGTGTCGTTACAGAGCTAATGGTGCAGCAGGCAGCGGCAGTCGCTGCCTCTCACTGCCATGCATATCACGCAGCTTCTCATCTGCAGGGCTGAGCAAGCAGCCGAAATCGGCCAGAATATAAATTACGGGCAGCATCCTAATTTCGCCGGGGAATGGTTCTGAAGTTGGGAATGTGTGGGCAATAATAGATGCTGCAGAGTTATAGCTCTCAGGTTGATGGTTACATACGCTGGTCGGGGGGGGCGGGGGCATGTAAGCTACTAGGGCTCATGCTCATCAGCTGGCTGTATGGATCTGCTAAGTAGAGCCAGACAGGGAACAAGGGCAAGGTCATTGCATCGGGGAATGTTGTTTTCACCTCTTCAATGTAACAACCCGTCTTCAGAGACAACTCTAAAGGTTTCTGAACATAATGTCAGCAGTTATATTACATTCTGCCTGAATGTCTGAAAAGTCTTTTCTATCTATTGTCTACCACTCACACACACATACAGAAATTTAAATAAAAGGTTTACCTCCACTGTTGTTTGAGTGGATACTACTCAGAACAGCCTTTTGTGCAACCACACACACACACACACACACAGGCTTCCCCATCAGCAAATTAACTGAATAAAGAGCGTCTCTTCACTGGTTCGTTTGAGTGGCTAATTACTCATCAGCACACGCTGTGTGGGGAGGGGGAGAGATCAGTTTTGCATCAAGAGGTACAGCTTCAAACAGCATCTGATGAAAGCCAAAGCACTTTAATTAAAACCTATTTGTATAAAAAAATTAATCTGAACTCTGAGAAGGGGAAAAATACACAATTCCAGCAATGGGGCGGAGATTTAAATCCATTAGTTTAGATAATGTGCTGACTTCATTATTTTGCCGAGAGAGTCAAGACTGGGAGAGTAACTGAATCGGATATCAATGATCATTTCCCCTTTGTGTCTAGTTCAGCTCCAGCCATACGCATTAACAACAATTTGTGAATCGCACCTCTACCATTCCCTTGTCTGGTGACCTTTAAAGTCTTGGAATGAACCTGAAGCTTTACAGTGTTCATTCATGTGTCATAGATGACATGTGATTTAAATTGTAAAGAATAGCAATTGGGATTTGTGTTTATAGCACTAGTGAGCTGAACAAGGAGTATTCAGACTGTTATGTCAACAGCATTTTTACGAGCTCACTAAAGGGCCAGCCAAAACCTTATATATGCCTGTTTTTACCTTGGACACTTCTGAGGGGTGGCTTGCAAAGAACCACAGAACCATGAAGGGTTCCTGCTATTTCATGTGGTGTTTTAAACGTCGACCCATCTTCCGATTAGCCAGTCCAGGTCACAGTTATTTTAACATTTAACATTTGTATTCTAAATGAAATTGAACGGTATCACAAAAGGACCACTGGCTGTCTGGGAGCAGAGAGGAGTAATAGGAGAAGATGTCAGAACTTTCTACCGCGATCCGCTCCGCAGCGCGGCAGTCGAGCATTCCTACGTCAGTATGTGTGCATGCTCATTTCACATATTTCTTTTTCGACTTTCTGTCAGACCCACGTCAGAAGCTGTGCAGCCTGTTAAGGGATGGTTGGAAAAAGAGGCGCTGCAAAGTGCTTTGTTCTTGTTTAAGCCAAGTTCCCATTTGCCCACAGAGTTAACAGAGGCCATTTATCGAATATGATACAGAAAACACTGGGCTGGTTGTAGATTTGTGAAGAAATGTGAATTCAAGGTTTAAAGCTGCATATCAGTCAGTCAAATAGGAGTGCTTGGGGATTATTGCTTCTGCAAAACAAAATTAGAGCTGTAAGGGACACCTTTCTGTGTTTTGCACCATATGTAAGAAACTCTTATTGGCAAAGTTTATTAGAAACCATTGCCCTGAAATCCTTTGATTGATATTCATATGCAAATGTGTTTGTTGAAAAAAGCAAACATTCTTTAAAAAAAAAAAAGAAGAAAGAAAGAAAAAAGGTAAAGCTTATCGTCAAGCAACAGATGCTGAGCTTAATTTTGTTACTTATTTTCTGGATAATAAGAGTTTGGTAAATACCTATGATGCATTCTGTCATGTTTTAAGTTCTACTAATGGAACTATAGCAGTTATAATTTATATTGATGAAATGGATGAAAGAGCCAGAAGGTTTGGTTCCATTCTGCTCCATCTGCCAAAGTGGTTTAGCAGAAAAATGCCAGAGAGAATGTGCTAATAACAAAATTACCAACTGTAACAAAGAAACAATATTATCAGACCTTCTTCAAAGGCACTGTTAAATAGACGTTTAGCCAGCACTGTTTTCTGTGTGCCAAGGCATTCTTTATACTCCAGTATAATGCTGTCAATACAAAAGCAAGACAATGTGGCTGTTTTCTACACTTTAATAGAGTTTATTTCTCAGGAAACCAGGTGTAGCTAAAAAATAATTAAGCCCAGATTGGTTCTTTTGTAAGTAATATGTTCTGTTTGTATTCGGGGGAAAATATGCCTAATTTTTTTTCCTGCATGTTTTTTTTTTGTTATGTTGCCATTTTGAAATCTTGCAGAATTTTAATAAAGGGGTATAAAAGGCAGTGTGCCCTGCTTGTGCTAGGGCTGATGAAATGCAGTTCAGGGCAGGTCTGGCCAGGATGTGAGTAATAATAATAATATTAATAACCATTTGTAGTATTTTATCTGGATTATTTGAGTACCTCAGATCACCGACTCATAATCAGAATTTTGCTTATACTGTGTGATTTTAAACCACAGTGTTACTTGATGTGGTGTACATTGAGGAGTGATGATATTGATGTTATGGTGTGGATGAGACGGTGTGAATGTAATGCTTTGGATGTGACGGTTTGAATGTGATGGTGTAGATGTGATGGTGTGGATGTGACGTTGTGGATGTGATGGTGGGGATGTGACGGTGTGGATGTGATGGTGTGGATGTGATGCCAGAGGTTCTTAGTTCTGTGCTAATCAGTTTGCTTCGTGTTTTTTCCCCAGACATGTTTGGAGCTGGAAAGGTACCTGCAGACGGAGCCCAAACGATTGTCAGAGCTCTTTGATGAGGAGCTGGATGGACTGCTCACGCCAGCCTTCATGAAGGGGGACAGTGAAGACGAGCTGGCGGACCCCCTACTGCCTAGCCTCTCTGTTCAACCCAGCCCACCCCCCACCTTGGCTTCCTCCCTCAAACTCCTGCCAACCCCTGTCACCACCAAGACTCCTGAGTTGGGCCCCAAAGAAGGTGCAGAAGGGGTAAATGCTGCTCAGCTGAGTGCCGTCACTTCCCTCACGCCACCCTCATCACCGGAGCTGGGACGCCATCTAGTGAAGCCGTCCCAGACACTGACAGCTACGGCCGATGGCACCCTCACTCTCAAGCTGGTGGCCAAGAAGGTGGGCCTAGGGGCGGCTAAGCTGGTGGCCACCAACAGCCTGCCCTCGCCACCCAACAAAGGTGGGCTGAGTGACAGTGAGCAGGTGGGATCAGGGAGCATCAGTGGTGACATCCCGGAAAACAAAAAGAGGGTCCATCGCTGCCAGTTCAATGGCTGCAGGAAAGTGTACACCAAGAGCTCCCATTTAAAGGCCCACCAAAGGACCCACACAGGTAAGATTCCTAGATCCTAGTCATAGATTTGTTTGGTTCCCTTAAGGTAATGGATGAGACATCAGACATAATTAGTAACGGGAACATAGGGGGGGGGGCAGTAGCTCAGGAGGTTTGGATGCTATGATTTGGCCCCCTGACCAAGGCCCTTAACCCACAAGTGACCCTGTTTTCTCAAAAAAAAAAATAATAATAATAATAATTTAGGTTGTTTTGATCATTGTAGCACAGGTCCACTCTAAGTCCAGACCAGAGAATCCAACTACAAAATGCAAACCAATATGGAGCATGCTCTGCTGAAGATCTAATATCTGCCGTAATTCATCCATCATCCATCTTCCCCTCTATCCATCATACATTCACGGTCCATCGTCCAGCTGCTTACCCAGTACAGTGTCATGGGGGGAGGGGCGGGCGGGGGCGGGCGGGGGGGGGAGGGGGGGGCTGTGTGGAGGTGGGCAGCAGGTCGGGGGCATGCCAGCTGGTGTGGCGGCCCCTGGCAGCGACTCGCAAAGCCATCTGTCCAGCCCCACCCCATACCACCGCCCCCCCCCCCACTTCCTCCCCGCTGGCCATCCCTCCCCCTAATGCCCTGACAGGTAGAACACCAAAGTGCCGTGGAAGAGGGGGTGTCGGATGCTGCCAGTGAGCGTGTGTGTGTTCGTGGGGGATGGATGGGGGGGGGGGGTCACTCACCATGCTGTACATGCCCCTGCATCTCACTATGGTGAGAGTGACACTAATTCATTCAGACATCTTGAGGAGGATCCCNGGGGTTAGCTGGAGCTATTCCCAGGCAGCAAAGGGCACAAGGCATATGAACACCCTGGACAATCACAGTGCACTGGCAGTATTTCTGAGATTTTTTTATGTATTCTGCCACTGTACGATATAATAAGCACATGCAACTTCTTCTCAGGATGTACACCCACAAACACTGTCTGGAATCAATTTCTTCTACCTCAGTCCAATGCCACCATTCAGAAGCATTACTGAGGAAGTCTATAGATGATTAATGCCTTATTTGCACCATGTGCCATTTTTTTTGTATAAATGTACGTTTTTTTCTGAATTGGTGTCCACACTCCACCTTTGAGCTGCTCTTGCTGTCCTCCAATCGAACCTGAAACATGCCACTCATCAGGGTTACCTGATGCCTGCTGCACTGAAGCCCAAGCCAGTAATCTCAGTCTTGGGGCGTGATGTTGACTTTGCAAATTCCGATGAGCAGGAGTGGCGATAATCATTTTCATGGTGATGCGAGGCTGCGGCGCTCTTCTGCAACGGGGGAGGGGGGCAGAACAACCCCGAACGGCACACTCCCATTTTGTTCATTACCAGACGGCCTAAGAGATGTAATTAGCCTAATCCTCTTTTTTGGTTATTATTTCCATAAATTACTGACACAGTGAGATTAAGATTAGTGCAGGATTTAAATGGTCTGCATTGAGATGACACAGTCCTGCATGGTTTTATGAATGGCGCTTCACAAGCAGATAAGCAAATCTACAATAGGATTTCGTGGGTGAAGGATGTACTTTGTGTTTCTTTCTCTTGACTCAGCAAGCTCATTATAATGTACTGGAAAACTTCACAAAATTAAAAGCGCTTTTACCCTGTCAGAAATCGCAATAGCTTGTCCTACCTCCAGTTGGCAGTAGATATATAATTAACTGTAGTGCAGACACTGGGGGGGGGGGGGGTAACGTTGCTAGGAGACTACATAAGCACCAGGCAAGAGACAGTAATTGGCTGATTATTTGCTGCTTTCCGTACTGGTCTCTGCCTGTACTACTAATGTTTAGTGTGCCCAAACCACCCAATGCCCCCAGAAATAACCCCTTTACTCCTCTACCAACACAGACTCTGTTGGTTTTGGTTGCCAGGCAACAGCATCACACTTAGCCAATCCATGCCATAATTGGCTGGTGGCACAGAGTGGTCCGTGGATTCAGCCGGCTGCACTGCTGTCTCTACTGTTTCTCTCTCCCCTCGTTGCTAGGCGACTGCATCATGCATCTTTGCCTGCCCTGCATTATAATTGGCTGTGTCTGTAGTTGCCGTGGGTGTGGGTCCAAGACTGCCTCACTGCTGTTAGGCCTTGGGGGGTGAAGGATTTAGGATGGGGGGGTGGGTCTCTGGCCAATTATTGAGAGTGGGGTGTGAGTTTTGCACTGTCTTGCACCTGCGTCCCCACCACTCACCAAATGACTGGTGCCTCCACCCAGCCCAGCAGCCTTGCTACATTAAAGGCACCGATGAAAGCATGTCTCTGGGGGATATTATCTGCTACAGCTTTGCGGTGTGAAAGGGGCAATAACTGGCCAATAAAATACTGGACACGCTTGATCACATCTTTTACAAGGATGTGCCTTTACGTCTTGACAGCCTTGACTGATTGAGCATCAGAATCTCTGGTTCAGTTCACTAGAAAGTCTGACTTTTTTCCATTTCTTTGTGCTTTTACGTCATAGATCACTACTCTCCGTGTGTATTTTGGGTACTACCCTAAAAATGTACCGCTGCAGTGTTTTTTTTCTGCACAAAACAAAAAAGTCACCCTCTCTGTGTCCCAGCATAAGGTGAAACACTTTTCTTCTGTGTTTGTAATTCTATCTGAGTATTTATTTCCTCACTGTACAAGACTTGTTTAAAAAGAGAAAGGCTGCCTTATTGGCTGTGTCAAACCTTATGTTCCTGTTAATGCCGTGTCACCTTTTATAAGTTTCATCATTAGATGTGCAGCAAGCTTTACAGCCCAGTGTTCCCTTACATGGGTGGGCTTCGCAATACTGTCAGCTATGTTGTTTCCTTCCTTATAAAGGTGTTTTGGCAGCCCTTGTTTCTGTGTCCAACAGTTTCAATAGACTTCAGTTTAACTTTCCTTATTAAGATTTGTGGGGGTGGCAGTCGACAGAGACAGAGACAAGGGGCTGATTGTAAATTTGCTGCCACTTCCCATTAAAGATCATTAGCAGCATAATAATATTGGCATCAATAGCATCATTGCGATTAGACCTGGGTTTTGTGTTCTTTTCACTTTTCACACGCGCCGCCTTTTTCTCATTCCGGCTTTTTTTGGTTAATTTTTTAGAGAGCATAAAACACAAAACTATGAAACAGGATAAACAGATAATCTGCAGACTTGAGGGGACTTCAATTAAATTATGAATCTGTCATTTGATTTATGTATGACTTGAAAATCAGTGAACATCGGATGTGCTAATTTAAACATAATCCTACAAATGAAACGTGTAAATGAGATGGGATCTTAAATGAGGCGCCATTGGGAGTAATGACTGTGTGAATTTCATCAGTTCCGAATGTGCTTGAAGCCTCTAAAACAATGAGCGAAGTGCACGGACACTGTGCCTGGTCTGAGACTGATGGGTGACTGCAGAGTCCTGCTGCAGCTGCAGTGTCTGTGATTGCAACTGGAGTGTCTGTGATTACTCAGTGTGTCTCCTGTCTCAGGTGAGAAGCCGTATAAATGCTCGTGGGAAGGCTGCGAGTGGCGCTTTGCCCGGAGCGATGAGCTGACGCGGCACTACCGCAAACACACCGGCGCCAAGCCCTTCAAGTGCAACCACTGCGACAGGTGAGATGCGCATGCACGTTGCATTCACTGCGCTCCATCACACGCATACACCTTCACCACTGTACTTCACCACTGTACTTCAGTGTGTTGGGACTGTCATTACGCGTATGACCTTTAAATCCCTGGCATAGTCCCACAGATGCAGCCCTTTCTAGACCTTCTGTTCACCTTCAGTGCTTTTAGCTCGCAGTCTTGTGAACTCGTTCACATATCGGCCCTCTTTTTCACTTTGCAGTATGGCTATTTGGGGTCCTCACACTAGGGACACGTGCCGAAAACTGTAAGGACTGAATTTCTAGAATTTTGCAGTTTAAAGACGGGAATGAATGTAATGTGAGAACAAAGGCAGCCTGTGCAGTCCAAAGTTACAGCAATGGCAACACACACACACACACACACACAAACCACAAAAGTAGCCCTTTGTCTGGTGATAGGACAGCTGTGGGGTGGGCAATCGCATCATCCAAAGGCCCTGACTGATAGGCTGTCAGGTGACAATAGCAAGAAGCTGCCACATCCCAAAATGCACACGGACGGCAATTACACGGCGGCGCTCAGGCGCACCATGAGCGCGCTCCAGGTGGGGCTGTAATTAAGCACGGCTCTTCATCTTCTTCAAGCTAGACAAGCTCCACAGATACGGCCAGTGACCGCCGCACCGCAGGCAGGAACACTATTGAAAGCATAATGAACAAATTACAATATGACCCCATTTACTCATAGATGTACTACAGCTACTAGCATAATAGTCAATCCAATAACAAAGATAAATGCTATTGGGGGGGGGGCAGAGGAAGGCATATTGTGAATTGTTCATCACTATATTTAGGATAGATCTCTGAGTTGGACTAAATAATACTTCCGTCCTGCAGGTATGAAGTCCCCAGCAGCTTTCAGATAATAAATGCCTTCCACATATAGACAGTGGACCTGCAAAATTCCCTGTCCATTATATGGGGTTTTAAATGGACATTATTGTTACAATTCGGATCAAGATATAGTCACTTTATAGTCAAAACCCTTATTTCAGTAATTCGACACAAACATTACTGCAAAATTAAAGCAAAGTAAACATTTTATGTTGAGGAGGTTAATATTGCCTGATTTTTAAATATTATGGGATTTATTTGAGAGCTGAATATGAATATCAAGGAAGGAAAACATCTGTTTCTTCCCTATTAATTCTCTGTGCCTTGCAATGCCAAGCGCAAAGTGAGATTAACTTAATGCATCTCTCAGAGCTATGAACAATCCTGCACGCATGTTTCCAGTGAAGTAATATGCCTTTAAACAAGCAGCTCGCTCTCCCTTATGATCCAGTCTGTTCACGCTCCTGGGGGAATTTAGTGTTGTGTTGCCATGAGGAGCCTGGATTACCATTAGAATAAGGGGGGGCGGGGGA